ATTATTCTAGTTAGAGATTCATGAGTCTAACAGCCTCAGGGTAGAAGCTGTTCCTCAGTCTAGTGGTTCTACACTTAATGCTCCTTAACCTCCTTCCTGAGGGGAGCGAGGAAAAAACGTGTGTGTGCTGGGTGAGTGGGGTCCTTCATGACGCAGGTGGCCCTCTTCCTTTATCTGGAGGTGTACAGCCAATCAGAATGTATCAGTGGGGTGACTATGTTTGACCTCTTTGGTCTTATCTGTTTCTGATGGTGGATAATGGGCAGAGTGCAAATCTATCTTGTGTTGGAAGCAAGCAAAAATAAAAATGAGTCCTTATCGGGTGTTGACCCTGGGATCGTTCATTGTGGGCAGCTGAGACTGAGCTGATCTGTTCCGAACCAGGTTATGAGTCAGAGTAGACCAGACTGGGCCTCCAGCAAGATTAAACTTCTAACAATATTGGGCTAAAATTTGCTGTGGTTGTTGCTGAGAGTCACTCCTGACCACTCTTAGTGCTCACTGATCCTGAGAGCAGAGCTTGAATCTTTGACAATAATTACTGAAGTCATGTAATGAGCATGGGCGTTGTAAAAATGACTGTATTTTAAATAATTTTACAGATTTTCAGCTATAATTTGGTGTGGTAGTGGCTGAGAGTCATCTACAACAGACATTTACAGTAGATCTACACATAAAGTGAAATCCCATGTTTATGTTCAAGCTTTGACCAGAACAGTTTTAATTTAATGCTTAGTCTTTAATTTTAAAATATTGCATGTGAGTTAAATGTTATCGGTTGTTGTTAAACTTTTAGATTTGCTTCCGTGCACGGCCACCTCTGTTGGGTTCCCGGGGGTGCTGTCAAACACTTTCAGTCCACAAGGCCAAAGCGAGCTGTACCCACGGAGCCATTTGAAAGTCATTTGCATCAGGAATCTGTCCGAGGCGAAGAGGATGATACCAGATTTCACCCATCTGCAGTCCTGTAAAATTGATTATATCAGCTGGTTATGTAAGCGGGGGAATGAGATGAGCCAATTAGTTCCAGAGTCGCACCGAGTGCCAGCATGAAGGGTGCCAGTGTTGCCTGATGAAAGCAAAGTTTGTAAATCAGTTCAATTATATTTTCTTTTAAAGGCAAATCTGCATGTTCCTTTACTACAGCTCTGTGATTCACATAGACGGATCCAATGGGGACAGTTAGCACTGTTCAGTTGAGCTGCAGGGATGAGAAGGACAACTCTGGATGTTTGCAGAGCGGTGAAGTTATTCTTCATGGTCCACTTTCAGGAAGAACACGTTGATGTTATGATCCACATTATTGGATATGTATTTGTCTTTACAGCTTCTGATGATGGTTATTATATTTTCACTACTTGGCAAAGATCCACGTATTGTATGAAGTATTTTACAAGATTAAAGCTCTAGTCTGATGATTCGTTTTCAGCTTTTTAAGATTACTCTTCTTATGGATGAAGAACACCAAGTTTTTAACAGCTGTCTTAACTCTTTGTGCTTCTTAGAATGTTCTATTTGTGAGGCACAGTTGTGGGTTGTTGCTGGTCTTTCATATTATGCAAAAAGGGATAAATACACACATAAACCAGCGACATGCTGCACTCTTGACTCCATATCTCCTCAGAGTCTTTGGGACAGTGATGTTATGAAGAACTGCTTTTATGAACAACAACAAAAATAATGTAATGAATGTTGAATTTGATTTGAGCAGATTTCCAGCAGAATCAAAAACTAGCACTCCTTGGAGAAATGTGCATCTCTTATATTCTCACAGGCCAAACTTTTAAACAACCTCGTGTTATTAGTTGGGATTCAGAGTGTGTGTTAGGTTTGACTCGACCTCACTTTAGATCAGTGTATGTAAAAATAATAGGGAGGTGGCTATTGTTGTACTTGTTAAGGTGGAATGGCTGTGGTGGCCATATGTATGTATGTGAGTATATATATATACTGTATATATATATATACGTATATATATATATA